AAGGAAAGGAAAGGAAAGGAAAGGAAAGGAAAGGAAAGGAAAGGAAAGGAAAGGAAAGGAAAGGAAAGGAAAGGAAAGGAAAGGAAAGGAAAGGAAAGGGAAAAGGACTTTTAAAGTTTGAAATTTAGAATAACACAAATCACTGTAAAGTCAGACCTTTAACACTTCATGATATAATGCACTACACTGAGGTGTAATACTTAAAAATATTGACACTGTTTGTAAAATCATATATAGGACTTGAATTTAAAGTTCTTTCTGTTATTACATTTCCCATCTCCTTTTTTATGCTTTTTTTTTTTTTTTTCAGAGTAAAAACTTCTTACAGCCTCTGCTTCAAATACAAGAAAATCTGGTCCCAGATGTCACTAATTGGGAACAGGTTAGCAGAGGGATTTACAGAGAGATGCCTGAAGTTACAAATCATCATGTGGGATCTGACAACAGCCTGTTTGACTGGGCTGTTTCATTTCATTGTATGTTAATAAGCTTTAACCAGTACCATGCAAAGCACAGAGGACACATTCAAGCAGGGAAATGACATTAATATAGGTCTTTCTAAAAGCTCTTAGTGTTTGTAACATACCAAGTACCATGTAAATATCTCTCTTCTAGCCAGGGATTCAGCATAAGCACAAACTGACATGAGAAGTACATTAATCAGTGTCTTTTGTTTCTTAACATCTGACATTTAAAAACTAAATTTAAGGAGTTAAATGTTTTTCAGCAGATCACTAGTTAAAGAACATTTAAAATTAATTTTCTCCAATAAACACACATTTGGAGAGGGAAGGAAGAGTAAAGAGAATTGCAGTTAGTTATGATGTAGATTTGCTTTTGCTGCTGGAATCAGCAGGAACGTTGCCATTAATTTCAAGGGTAGAAAGACTGAGCCAACTACAGTACAGTTGCACTAACTGAATAAACAGAAACACTTCCTTCCCATGGGATTAAAACACTGCATTAAAACACAAATACTTAGTTTGAAATCTAGTCTTTAAAAAATAAAATTATCAAGTTACAAATAATCAAGACAGTTCTGCACATTTACATGCAAGCTTAGTCCAGAGACTACTGAAGCCAACTAACAATTGTCAACACATTTCAACTGGTTGAAACCGCCAGGTAGCACTCACTATTGGTCAATTTTTAACTTAGATATTAACACTTGTGTTCCATTTGAAATGCTTACTTCAAATTTATTTATGAGGCTTTTTTCTTACTATACAATAAAACAATGCAAATGCACATACAAATTCTGGTATCCTCCCAATGACAATATTTTGTGAGCCTTATTGTCCATTTTCCTGTGTTTCATGTTAGTCATTAGCCCTGGTGCTAACTGTGAGTAAGACAGAAAACCAGTGGGAATTGTCTTTCATTTTCTTTTCATTGTCTCAAATGACCATATAAGAATTTGGATCTATTGAAATATACTGCAAAATTCTCCTTACCTCATAGGAAATCCAATCCAAGTTATGTGAAACATTTTCTGCTGTGGAGATTACTTTAGACATACTCTGCCCTTCAAATAAAATGAAAACTAGGAGGCAGTTAATATGCCCAAATATAGTAACTAACCATATAATTATTATTTTAACATGTCATTTATTAATGTGTAAGTTCTTTTTACTCTTCATTTCATGGTTGTGTGAATATTACAATCCATGTTTGAATCACGCAGTTGAAACACACTGGTTTTGAAAAGAAAGGTTTTAAATAGTGAGATCCCATTTTGGCTTTCAAGATCACTTTTTGTCACCAGATAACTCAATATAATTATTCTGACAAGTAACACCGGACACTCTCATTCCCTTTCCTGTAAGACAGGTCTTTGGCATACTACAATGTATTGTGGGAGCCACTGGTCTTTATGGAAGGCATATTCCTATGGAAGTATCAGCTTAGGAGAAGGAGAGATGGCCCTTAACTTTCACCAAAAAATTGAGTTTTTTACTTAAAAGAAAATCAATGTAAATTTTTCACTTAGTGCAATCACAAGCTGCATCTGAATTCCAGCATGGAGTCACCTTTGCACTGTTTTAAAACCACCCTGTAATTTTTCTGTTCATTTAATCCCTGCTTTCTGTATTAGATTCATTTAAACAAACAGAAGAGCTCAGAAGGCTTAACAAGATATGTGAAATGGAGAAAAGCAAACTGCCGTCTTGGAACAATTGCACAGAAAATGCAAGCAACGACACCAAGTTTTTACCAAGCCTTCTTAGAGGACATTTCAGGGTCTCAAAGTAAGTGCCCCAAGCACCCTCTCAAGCTCAGAATGTCTCCTCTTCAATATTTAGGGAGGAGTGCTTATTTCTGGCTTTGTGGCATCCAGAGTGCTCAAAGCATTACTAGTAATTACTATTAGTTATGAGTTATACATTAAATTCATTATGGAAATTAACACTGAGATTACTGCAAGAATGAAAATCATCATCACATTCTTACTATTCTCCCAAACTTCCTGAAGTACAAAGCAAAGGAAACAGACCAAAATATTTCAAAAGAAATGTTTTTGTTTGTACCAATTGTGTCTCCTAAACAGTCAGTTTGGCTTCCCAGGGAGAAGCAGGGAAAATAAATCTGTTATGCTGATCAGAAATGTAATTCTCAGACCACATTCAGTTCATATTGAAAGATATCCATGCACACACAGGTCTCTCCTCCTGTGGGGAAAAGAAAACAAGGGAATGAAATTTCTTCTCTAGACTAAAATTTTCATTGCTGCTAAAACAGCCCTTTACAGCCCCTTTAGAATTTAAATTTTGAACAGATTTGCCTAGCCCCTCTGATGTATTCAGGGCAACTTATAAACAGTAAAAGAAAGGTAATATAGTGGAGCCTCTTTGGCAGTTTGCCTGAATCCAAACACAGATCATCTGTTGGCAAGAGAGGAATGGTTTGGTTATGTCAGAAGTGGCATATGTTACTTTAGGAAACAAATTTCCTCTGCAGCAGGAATTTAAACACAAGTGCAGCTCCAAACTATCTGAACAGTGCTCTCAACTGAACAAGAAAACTTGTATGAATGAATGAATGAATGAATGAATGAATGAATGAATGAATGAATGCCCAACACACAGGAAGGGATGCAATTTGTCTGAGGATTCAACTAATATGATAGAATACAAAAAAAATCTAAATGCCATCCTGCAAAACAGTAACTACCATTGTTTATTATAGCTAAAGGATGAGAAAAAATTAAAATAACAAAATTATGATATATGCTGCTTCTAATTTAGACTTGAGTCTTAGATGCACTGATATTGGGAGAAAAATTCTTAGTGAATGTTCCCTCTTTCACTCCAAGCTTCAAAAATACTCTAATTCCAACTTTAAAATTTTGAATTCTTGCACTTTATTATTTACTAGATAGGCCAAGAAATCAACTGTCACATACAACGTGATATTATTTCATTACACGTTAGTCAGACATGAAGAACTAAAGTACTTTGCTAACTTTACAGAACATTATTATTATTATTATTATTATTATTATTATTATTATTATTATTGCTGTTAGTTTTGTCAGGGGTCAACATACACTGCAGACAACAAATAACATAAGTAAAAGACTTAGTGTAGTAAGAAAATTCTTCATTTTGTCAGAAATGCTGTAATGTATTGCTAGATGTAACATATACTTGTAAATATATAAAAATACATTAATTTCGTAATCAGCAGGAGTCTTTAGGTGAACTCAGCATCCTAGGGTGCCAACTATAAGCCTCATTTAATTGTGAATCAAGCAGGTATGTTAATGATGGACAGCATGCTAGCATCTGGATAGACAGGGAATTTTCATTGAGTAGAAAAGTGATTTCCCTATTTATCCCTTTATTTTAGCTTTACGCTAATATAAAAATACTATTTTCAAAATCCCAAACTTGCATAAATCTCATGAAGTTGAACAAAAAAGAGGATTAATTGCTGTTAATAGAACTAAGCTGAAGTTAATAATGTAAAATATACTTTTCTTAAATCCCTGGATTCCATTAAAGGAAACTGTGTTGTGGCTGTGGTGGACTGAATGTTAATCTAACACATATGCTTTGCAAATGCCTACTCATACATAAATTCTCAGATGAAATATTTGAAAGCATTATTACGATCTTGTACTGGAATATTCTTCTAGGTCTTAAACTGGGTAGTTTTAAGAAATATATACCTTAAGGAACCACAAAATTTTTTGTTGAGTTTCAGCTGAAACAAAAAAAACACCCCAAGCCCCAGTTGGTTCTTCAGAAATAACCCTTCCTAAAGGGTTTTGCATTCTAGAGTGCTATAGCAGCCTCAATGAGTCAGCAAATGAAGAAAGCACTATTCTGCTTGAATGAAGAACATCAGCTGGTTTTGAACTCCTTTTTCTCATACCAGGCTTTTAAACAGAAACATGAGTTTCTACTCACACTATATTGAAAATATGTATGGCAGATAAATAACTTAAAAAATAACAGAAGACATAAATCCCTAATTAAAGTTCTAAAGTAAATGTAATTTTTACTCTAATCAATACTCTCTGATATTGTCTGTATAGATTTTATGCCTCAGTTTTCAGTGACAACAAATACAATGAAATGTCCAGACCAGACTGCAATTTGATCAGATTTGGAAGCCATTAAGTCAATTTAAGTAATTTTGTAATTCATTAAGTCCCTTGGTATTTTACGAAAATATCAGCTCTAAATTCTTGCTTGGATAGCTAAAAAGTCTAATAATACAGTGCACCACAGGCCCCAAACAGGTGATTTTAGTCTTAAATTGTGTGATTTCAGTCTTCATTGTTTTTAAAAAAGAAACACTTTATTTGCACTTCTTAGGAACAGGAATTCAAGCCAGGGGGCCATTTAGACTGGTTTGGGTTTTTTTTCTAGCTGTAGCTGTAAGTGGATGCTCATTGAGGAACAACAGAATTAAAACAGACTTTTCCTTCAGAAGTCCCTCAGTTTCCAGTTATATGCAGGTCACACAATTTCCTAAGCTTACTGGATTTTCTTCTGTTTAGTAATCTTAAGTGGATTCCTCTTCAAAGTGTTTGTCCACTTCCCCCTAAAATCCACAAAAATATGAGCATCTGCAAAGCCTCCTGGTGAGCAGTTCCATGGGGCTGCTAGTCTTTGCATAAAGAAATGCCACACTGTATTTGTTCTGAAATCAGCTTCATCTGACGGTCCTTAGTTTTTCTATGAAAAGAGACAGCAAACAGCTGAGCTGCATCAACTATCCCTGTGAAATCCTGTGGATTTCTTATCAGCCCTCTAAATCACTCTTTTCTGAGTTAAAAATTGCTAACCTAGTAGCCCAGTCCTTCTAGAGAAACTCCATCCTTTTGTTACTTTTTTTTGCCTTTGCTGAATATTTTCAAGTTTTAATACATTCCTTTTTAAGACCAAGAGATCAGAATTTGCACAATATCCAAAAACCCCTGATTGAACTATAAAGGTACATGGTGGCGTAATGGTGTTCCCTGTTTATTCAGTCCTGGAAATGCCTAACAGTTGATTTGGTTTTATGACTGTCACTGAGCAATGAATCAATGTTTTATGAAACTAAAGATCATAACCTCAGAATCTTGCTCTTGAGTGGGAACAGCTGGTTCAGTTTTATGAGACTCCTGGGTTGTTTCTGCCATGTGTTTGATTTCACATTTATTTACTCTGAATTTCAGCTGCCATTTTATTGCCTGGTCCTTTAGTCCTATAAGCTCTCCTTTACCATCTCCTCCTCTTCCCTCTATCCTGAATTACTTAGTATCTTCCAAACTTTTAATCTGAATGTTCACATCTGCTTCTAGGTTATTTATGAGTACATTGAAGAGAGTAGAGCTTAGCACAGACCACTCCTGAAATTTCCAAATGACTCTTCATTGTAAAAACTACATTTTAGACTAATCCTCCTTAGCCAATATTTTAGGTGACTTTTTAGCTAAGCAAGGACCTTCCTTTTTGGTCTGTGCTGATTCATTTTCTTAAAAGCTCTCAGTGACAGACTTCTTTAAATGCACTGCATATCTACATGAACTATGGCCTGAAATAACAGCATGGTCCACACCTGCACTGATCCTCTGAAAGATCACCCAGAGATCCGTAAGGCAAAAATCTCTTGATTCTCTTACATAGATCGTATTGAGTTAGGTTTTCCCATTTTAATTTTTATTATGAATTTATAACTGAATTCTGCGTGAAACAGATCACTTCACATTATTAACAGGAATAAGTTAGTATTTCCAAACTCAAAAATTTACTGTTTTACACATGTGGGGCAATATGGCAAAGAAAGAAAGAAAGGCACTCACTCAGGGAGGTTGTGGCTGCCCCATCCCTGGAAATGTTCAAAGCCAGGTTGGATAAATCTTTTAGCAACCTGGTCTAGTGGGAGGTGTCCCTGCACATGGTAGGGGAGGTTGGACTATATGATCTTTAAGGAGCATTTCAACCCCTTAACATTTTAAAATTCCATGATTCTATGAAGCTGCCTTGATTTGGACTTGATGATCTTGGAGGCCTTTTCCAACCTTAGTGATTCTATTTTCATTCTACTGGGTGGTAAACTGGATTGCTTGGATTTTACTATCTGTAAAAAGAATGTACCATTCTGTAAGCCAAAATAACATTTTACCAAAAATGTGACCTCAAATGATTCATTCTTTTCCTTTAATTCATAGAAGAAAAAGGACTAATTAATTCATTAGGAAAACCTAGAAACCTGGAAAACTAAAGTTGTTGAGGAAGAAAATTCATATAATTATTTCAACCCTTTCAAGCACTTGCAAAAACCTTCAAGGAAAAATACAGCATTTAATTGTGATTATTTTCCTTCCCTATGAAAGAATTTGATTTAAAAATAACTGCATTCATTACAGTTACCTTTTTAAAGTGATACCCACACTGGTACAGGGTGTTCCACAGCCAGCTACACTACCCAGTACCCTCTCCATACAACAGTGGCTCATAGTCCCCTGAAAGCATATCCCAAACAGAAAATGTTTTTCTACTATCTAAAAGACATCAATCTCCTAGGCCCATCCATGAAAACTTCCTATGATGCAGAATCAATAAGTAAAAATATACTCTCTGGATCATGATATTCTAAATGTATTGAATAAACTTCTAATTATATATTGAGTCGCTATATTTATAAAGGCGTTTAATTCTTTCTGCAGTCAACATTAATTAGCACCTAAATATATTTAAATTTCCACCATGTAGGACAAAATGGGAAACAGAATTCCTTTTAGATGCCAAAAGTGTACATGGGCCAAAATATTTGTGATTAACATTTAGGACCGAAAAATACAGTGAGAGGTAAACACACAAATGGAGCACAGGCAAACAGAAAGAGGGCAGTATTCACAGAATTAAATTGTCTTGCTGGTAAATAATAGATTAACTGCTTACCCCCTCTCAGTATCTTCAGTTTTTCATTCATTTATCAATATCGGCCCTAAGCCATGCATCAAAGGAACTGTAAAGTAAATTTAAGGGTGTAAAAGGACAAACAGTGCTGGTAGAGAAGATGCAGGTCATTGTCCTGTGTGTGGGCAGCAGTTTTGCATGTACAGAACACTTGATTTCAATTTCTCCTTTTTTAATGAAGGGTAGTTCAGTGCAGATTTTTTGCAAAAGGGAACTGGTGCAAAACACAAGGAGTAAGGAACGTGAGTTTC